CTAGATGGGTCCCCGGGGCCATGACACATGTCTGCTCCTTCCTTCCTTCCTCCACACCCCTTTGTGTCCCTCCTAACCTGGGACAGAGACCCCCAGTCCTCGCCCCTCTGACTCACACACAGAAAGAACTTCTCTCCCGTGCTTCGGTGCAGGGGACAGTGAGGAGTCACGAAGCAATGATACCACAATGAAAGTCCAGTGGAGCTTGTCTGGCACATGACGAATCCGGTGCCCCAAGTCCCTCTGGCAGGGATCCCTGGACCAGTCCTGGGAACTGCCCCAAGTAGCCAAAAAGGTTGATTAAATGAAATGAAAATAAAACAGAAGAAGAAGAAAAATAAATGATCTCTCCAGGGAAGGTTTTAAAAGGGAGCCCTGGGGATCACACTGTCATACTGCTCAGCAGTGAGTGGAATGCTCGTGGCCTGCCACGGCCAATGGCTGGCCCTGTCTGCACCCAGCCACGGAGCCCCCCGGAGGGCTATAGCCCAGGAGCGAGCAGCTGCGTTCGAGTCCCACCACAGACAGTCGCTCCATCTCCCCAGTTTCCCCAGAAGCCCACCTCTGACCCTGCCGATGACGGACACTCGGCCACACAGCCTGCTTTGGGGTGTTCACGGGTCAAGACCAAAGACAGGATGAAACCCGTGCTGACTGTAGCCCCGGGCATTCCCATCCTTCCTACAGGGCCCCAGAACAAGCCCTCAGTGTCCGGAACCGAACCGGCCTCCAGCAGCCAAACCCAAGTCAAGCCAGAGGTCTGAGCAAACAAACGGTGAAACCCCCCAGGTGGGAAGATGGACAGTCTCCCCGCACCCTGGCAGATGGGGCTGGCCGGCACGGGGCTTGAAGGGCGTCCGGCCAGCCCAGCTGTTTGCCGGGAGGATTTGGCCCCAAGTAGGTTGCTGGGTGCTGAGAGCTGCACCCGGGTGGGGGGACAGAGAAGAGCCCCACGCTGCACCCACACCCACCCCATCCCCGGTGGCTCTGCTGGTCACTGCTGTTGTCCTGCTCTTCCGGACGAGAAGGTCAAAGGCTGCTGAGCATCTGGGGTTTATTCCCCCTTTGCTCCACGCCTGCTGGGCAGCTGAGGCAGCCCAAGGCTCCTGGGCCGCCTGGGCAGTGACCCTCCAATCCTGACTGTGGACTCAGGGGGAGAAAGATACAGCACCAGCAACTGCTGTTCAGGCAGGACCCTGGGAGCCACCAGGGCAGTGGAGTCTAGCTGGGTTGCCCAGCTCTGGGTGGGCGAAGAGCAACGATCTCTACATGACGGAAGAATTCAGGGCTGAAGGCGGGCTCTGTGCATTGACCAGAAGCCATCTGTGGCTGGCAGCGAGCGTGTGCGTTTCCCAGCCTCCCTTCGTCTGTCCAGCCGGCACCTCGCACCGTGGAGCCAGGCTCTGTCTACTCTCATCCAGCTTCAAGGATGGCTTCGCTACCCGTGCTCCGAAGAAGCAGCTCGGGCCGGGCTGACGAGAGGCTTTCCCTCCCGGAGTCCACATTTCGGGGTAACCACAAGTCCGTCACGAGCATGCCTGGTCGAGAACTGGCGCTGCTCCCCACAGCTGGGCCAGGGCTGCGGGGCGACTTCGAGCCTGGCACAGACTCCCTCTCCGCCCGCCCTCGCAGCTGGCGCTCGGAGCGTGTTTGGGGCAATCAGCAGGGATGTATGTGGGGGGCGGAGCGAGAGCCGGGTAGACACCTGAGCGGGCCTGGCAGGGGCGGGCCTCCTACAGAAATCCACGCAAGGGCACAGGGCCAGTGTGTGGGGAGTCGCGGGCAGGGCTGAGCGCCAAGAGCCGGGGCACCCGCGGGAAGCAGCGAGGGCAGGGAGGGCACGGGAAATGAGACCCCAGGGCCGGACCCACAGCCCGTGAGACGGCGGGGGAGGCGGACTTGGGCCTCGAGATGGGAGCCAAGGGGAGGCTTTAAGTGAGGCCGTCACGGGAGAGGATTTATGCTCGGAAAAGGTCATTCTGGCTGCAGTCAGGGAGCAAAACACGGAAGGAGGGAAGCAGTTAGAGACGGTGACCAGACTCCCAATGAGAAACAGACGTGGCTTCAGCTCGTGGAAACGTATAGGCCCCCGGGAGACAGGGGGGAACGCTCGGGCCACTGAGAAAACGCAGGTCGGGGCAAAACGCTACAGTCTGCCGAGAGCATGCAAGCAAGGGGCAAGCGGTGCTCAGGGTCAGCCGCGAGCCGGGCCCCGAGAGGCGACAGGAGGGCAAGGGAGGGTCCCAGGTGGAGGGAGGGCGGAGGTGGGGCCACGGAGAACGACGCCTTGGCAACGAAGAAAGGGAGTGCCAACGAGCACACACGCATGCTCACACACGCACACACCCGTGTTCATACATGCACACACGCACACAAGCACCCGCACACACATGCTCACACACACAAACCCACGCTCACATGTACAAAACTCACACACCCATAGAGGGATGCTCATGTGTGCATAACCCATGTTCACATGTGCGCACACATTCACGCACCCATGTTCATACGCGCACACACATGCCTACACCCATGCTCACACGTGCACACACCCATGTTCATACATGCAATCATGTTCTCACATGCACAACCCACACTCACATGCGTACAATCACATGTGCTCACATAGATGCGCACCCCTGTGTACACACACGTAAGCTCACCTGTATACATCCATGCTCACACATACATGATGTACTATGATCACATGCATATACATTTACATACCCACATGCCTGCATGGATGCTCGTGTGTGCATTCACACATGCTCATGCATTCATGGATATATCTCTGCCGAGACACAGATGTGCCCTTGCTCACACATACATGAGCACACCCACGCTGAGCGGCACATGTGCTCACATGCACACGTGCCTTTGATCATAAAGCACATCTGCTCACACTTGCACACCCATCCACAAGTGTCCATATTAGAAACATGTCTGTGAATTGTCACATATGAGCACATGAGCACAGACCCCCAGGGGCTGTAAATGCCTCCACACCCACATCCCACCAGCCCCCATCCACACGCGTCTACACACACAGGACTGACAGGCTGCAGCACGGTCTCACTGCACACATATGTACACACATGTTCTCACTGCGGCATCTCCTCACGCATGCACCCTTCACTGGAAAACCACATGTATGCGCACACACGCCGTTTTGGAAAGCCTCACTCTTCAGCAGGCCTTTAAGAGCCAGTTCAATGAGCTGCACGCGGGGGGCCTGGGTTCAATCCCCAGCACCTCATGGACCCCTAAACATCACTGGAGTGGCCTCGGGGCACTGCCAGGTGTAGCCAAAATTTAAAAGTGAATGAGAGCACTGAAGAGATAGTACAGGCGGTTAAGCTGCTGGCCTTGCACACAGCTGACCCAGATTCAAGCCCCAGCACCACTTATGGGCCCCCAGTGCCCACCAGGAGTGATCCCTGAGCACAGAGCCAGGAGTCAGCCCTAAGCACTGATGGGTGTGACCTACCCCACCCCACCAAGAGAAACAACCCATTCAAGCTCAGATCTATCTTCCTAACTGTGACCAATGCTGCTGCCCACTTTCTCCTCTGTGAGGGGCTCCCGGCCCAGCATATAGTGAGTTCTCACAGTGCGGTGGCTCTCGGATATTGCAGGGCAGTTAGCACCAGAGGGAGAGGCTGGTCAGAGCTCTCTGGGGGACACCAGGGGCTCATACCGGCCCAGACCCCAGGTGTGGCCCTGGACGCCACTCACTGAGGCAGCCCAGACCCCCAGGAAAGGCCAGCATGCGTATGGGTGCACCTGGCACGCAGAGGTACTCCAAGCACTGCCTTTCTGCGGGGGCCGGGGCTGCATCGGCTCCCACAGCTAAAGCTGCTACCCCCCAGGAAAGCTCAGTGCCGAGAGGCAGCAAGAATATGGAACCCCACAGCCCTCGTAAACAGTTTTATTTACACACCCAGAAGGTCCTCAGCATGGCTGCCAAACCTTCAAAGTAAAATCCTGAGACCAGTAAAACAAGGATTCAACCTTGGTCCTCATAAAAGCAATAGGAATAAAGGACTGACTGCTGTCAAGAGGCCGGAGAGACATACACGCGCGCACGCACACACACACACACACACACACGATGTACATTTGGATACACACATGTGCATGCATGCATACACATATGCACACAGGCTCACACTCACACGTGCACATAATGCCACATATGTTCACACATGCACACAGGTTCATAGACCCTCACATGTACACATGATCTCACAGTGCACACACATGCACACAGGTTCACACACGTGCACACACTCAAACATGCACACACATACATCCAGGCTCACATGTGCACAAACATAGACAAAGCCTCACACATGCAAATACTCACACATGCACGTTCATGCACACAGGTTCACGCACTCACACGTGCACACACAGGTTCACACGTGCACACAGTCAAACATGCACATGCATACAGCCAGGCTCACACATGCGCACACATACACAAAGGCTCACACAGTCACATTCATGCACACAGGCTCATGCGTGTACACACAACTGCCTGCCCCATGCCCTTAGCTATGCCAGCCCCTCGCTGGGTTCCCAGCCCTGTCCCTGCTGGTGCCTGTACCAGCCCCACCAGAAGGGGGTGTGAGCAGCTGCACGTCGGGCATCTAAGGGGCCCCCTGAGGCTAGTGCCAGAAGTTTGCCAGGTGAACTCTGCCTGTCTCCCCACCCGACTCTCAGGCCCCAAGCCCTCATGACAGATGTTCTCAGAGGCCAAGGGCAAAAGTGGGGTCTGGCAGCCACGCCTGCCATCCAGCTGTTCCGGGCGGTACAACCCCATCCCCCCTCCCACCCATTCCAGGGCTGTCTGAGGGACAGGGACAGGCCTGGGCAGGGTGGGCACTGCTGGGCCTTGCAGGAAGCCCAGGACTCTGAAGGAGATTAGCCCAGGGCTCGGTAGCCCAGCATCAGGTGGGGGTGGGGGGCCAGCAGGAGAACCCAGAGCCCACGCCTACCTTTCTCCGACGCGGGGGCCAGGTCAATGAAGCTGCGGCATGTCTCACCTGGGGAGAGAGAAGGGTTTTCAGGCAAGAAGAAGTGGGGCCTCAGGCAGTCACAGGCCCCCCACCCAGACGCTCTGAGTCTGAGCCCTGCCATCTCTCCCAGGGGCCTCTTCTCAGATTCCGTCCCTAGAGTGCCCGGGAACACCCACGGCAATGGCAGCGGGGCCGCTAGTGACCAGCCCCCACCTCCGGGACCCACCGCTGCTCCATGTTCCTGGACCAGAGCACATGGAGAGCGGTTTGCAAAGTCTGTGACGGGATCAAACATGTGCACGGGGGCATGGTGCCGCCAGCAGTCAACTTGTACCTGCCGGGCGAGTGTGTCAGCAGCCTGATGGTGACTTCAGGCTTCCTAATACCCCAAAATTGCCACTGTGCCTATGGCCAGACTCCACCAATTTGGGACCAAGTTTACCAAGAAATTAAACGGCCAAAAGTTAGGTATGTGGGAGCCACGCCAACAAACCACCTCCAGCTCCATTTATTGGCCTTATTTCAGAGACTCACAGATAAATCTCGAAAGAGATCAAAAGTCACAGTTAATCTCAGACCCATGCATGGCTGAACAGACAGGGGTAAGTCGGAGGGGGGCGGGTTGGCCTGTGCCCACCCAAGCAAAGCCCTTGGCAGCTGCTTGCTGCCATAATCCAAAACCACCACCAGATCCCCGGCCTGACTCCACCGTTTCAGGACAGACCTCACCAAGATAGAATCTGCCAGAAGTTCTGGTATGCAGGTTTCGTGACAAATCTCCAGGCTTTCTCAGGTTTGGGATGGGCTGCCTTCCCTCACCTCCCTGTACTTTCGCAAGCCTCAGCAATCACATCCACACCCCAAAGCTGCCACTCAACTGAAAAGCTACTCCATCCTGATAGAAATACTGAATGCTCCGAACAAACACTATGACCTCTTAGCACCTGTATTGCAAACCAGAATACACAGAATGAAAAGGAGAGCGAGAGCAGGAAGGGAAATGCCTCCCATCGAGGGAGGCTGGGGGTGGGGTGAGGGAGTTGGGGGAGGTTGGTTGGGGAAATGGGGGACACTGGTGGAGGGACGGGTGCTGGATCACTGTATGAGTGGAACTCAATTATGAACAGCTTTGTAACGGAATACCTCATGGATATCCAATTCTAAAAATTTTTAAAAAGTAATGTGAAGTTCATGCCCAATTCAGTCAGCTTAACCAATGGCTGAATAAATAGCAGCACTCCTCCATTTAAAAAATATATACACACATCCACACACAGGCATGCATGCACACACACTCCCAAGCACACACATGCTCACCTACACACATCCCCCAACACGTGCACACACACGCACATTCCTGTTCTGAGTCCCCAGCTGACTTGCCAAGGGCGGAGTCCAAATCTCACTGGGTTCTCAGGACGGGCCTCTACCTCCCCTCACCTGTACCCGACCCCCTATAACTCCTCAGAACTCCCCACAGGCTCAGAACTCCCCATAATTCTTCATGACTCCCCATAATTCCATAACCCCTCCCCATAACTCGCTGCCTCTTCAGCCCTTCCAGCACCCCTTGACCCCTCACCACACACACACACACACACACACACACACACACACACATACACACACACGCTCCCGTTGCGTCCAACTGGCTCCTCAGAATTCCCCATTGGTGACTGGGGACAGGTGGTCACCCGCTGAGAGCCCCAGGAGAGGGGCTAGGACAGGGCTAGGACCTCCAGTTCAGTGAAGGGTGACTCTACCCCCAGTGCTCAGTGCTGGGGTCCTTCCTTCTCTCACTCTCTGACTCCCACTTCTATGGCTCCAGCACCCCGTGCAGCTAGAATCAGCCACTTGCCACCCCCCACTGTCCAGCCGCCTGGGTTGTGGCCAGACACCTCTGCCAGACACCCTGCTTCACACAGTGGGAACCTGCATGAAATAAGAGGGATCTGCTCAGAAACCCCCTTTCCCCTCAGGCCACAGCCCCGATGCTGCTCCTTCTCTCCCATCTTGTCCCCACTTGCTCGACTTCCAGCCCGACTGGCCCTCTTGCAGTGGCTTAAGTGTGATGCTTTCAGGGCCTTTGCACATGCTTCTTCTTCAGAGCATCTTCCCTCAGACAGTTGATGGTTCCCCCTTCCTCCGTCACTGTCCTCAAATGTGACCTCCTCAGGGAGGCTCTTCCTATCTGTCTGTTAATCTTTCTGTCTTTCCTAATCTTTCTGCTACTCCAAACCTCTCCTCGCTGACACCCCAACTCCCTTTCTGCTGAAGTCCTAGCCCCTGACAGAGTCCCGCACATACTGACACTCAATACCTCTTCATTGAAGGAGCACATTTGAACAGGCATAGGACCTCTCACAGCGACTGCCATAGAAACATAGGAACAATGGCCCAGCCTCATGGTCTCACAGCTAATCTCGGAAGAGATGCAAGCCAAGCCGTGGAAACTCACTGGCCTACTTCTACAGGGCCTGCAGTTCCTGGAGTGTGTGGCCACAGATGCAGCCACACAACACTTCCAAATTCCACAAATTTGACAGCCCCCGCAACAGAACAATAACACAGAAGGTTCAACTAGCAGTTAACAGCTTAGTAAACCCTCGGACAACTCTAGTGACCCATGCTGAGATACAACAATTTTCACAAATTTTCTTTTACTCAAGTTTTTTCCCCCCTGATAATTCCAGGGGCTGGAGTGATAGCACAGCGGGTAGGGTGTTTGCTTTGCATGCAGCCGACCCGGGTTCGATTCCCTCACCCCTCTCGGAGAGCCTGGCAAGCTACCAAGAGTATCCCACCTGCACGGCAGAGCCTGGCAAGCTCCCCGTGGCATGTCTGATATACCAAAAACAGTAACAAGTCTCACAATGGAGACGTTACTGGTGCCTGCTCAAGCAAATCGATGAACAACAGGAGGACAGTGCTACAGTGCAGATACTTCCATTAGCCATGTTGTTGTAACAAGCAATATAAAAAATGATTGTGTGCCTGCTAACAGGGGTGCAGATGTCATTTAGACTGTGCTTCTGTGCCTCTCTGTGATTTATTCCCAGGAGTGGTATTGCTGGGTCAAAGGGGAGCTCAATTTCTAAGTTTTTGAGAGTCGTCCATACTGTTTTCCAAAAGGGCTGAACTAGTCGGCATTCCCACCAGCAGTGAAGGAGGGTCCCTTTCTCACCACATCCGCGCCAACACAGGTTGCTTTTGTTCTTTTGGATGTGGGCCAGTCTCTGTGGTGTGAGATGATATCTCATTGTTGTTTTGATCTGCATCTCCCTGATTAGTCATGTAGAGCATTTTCTCATGTGCTTTTTAGCCATTTGGATTTCTTTGAGAAAGTTTCTGTTCATTTCGTCGCCCCATTTTTTAATGGGGTTGGATGTTTTCTTCTTGTGGAGTTCAACCAGTGCTTTATATATCCTTGCTATCAACCCCTTATTAGATGGGTATTGGGTGAATATCCTCTCCCATTCTGTAGCTGTCTTTGTATTCTGGTCACTGTTTCTTCTGAGGTGCAGAAACTTCTTAGTTTAAGATAGTCCCTTTTGTCTATCTCTGTTTTTGCTTGCTTGGCCAGTGGCGTGACATCTTTGAAGATACCATTAGCTTCAATGTCGTGGAGGGTTTTGCCAACCTTGTCTTCAGTGTTCCTTAGGGATTCCAGTCTGATGTTGAGGTCTTTAATCCATTTTGATCTTACTTTTGGACATGGTGTTAGGTAGAGATCTGAGCCCATTTTTCTTTTTGCACGTAGCTATCCAGTTTTGCCAGCACAATTTGTTAAAAAGGCTTTCCTTGCTTCACTTCACATTTCTTGCTCCCTTATCAAAGATTAGATGATCATGTATTGGGGGGGTGTCAGTGTATTCAACCCTGTTCCATTGGTCTGCGGCTCTGCCTTTGTTCCAGTACCATGCTGTTTTAATTATTACTGCTTTGTAGTAGAGTTTGAGGTTAGGGAGGGTGATTCCTCCCATTTCCTTTTTCCTCAAGAGTTGCTTTAGCTATTCGTGGGGGCTTATTGTTCCTTATGAATTTCAGGAGTGTTTGCTCCATTTCTTTGAAGAATGTCATGGGTATCCTTATAGGGATCACATTGAATTTGTATAGTGCTTTGGGGAGTATTGCCATTTTGACCATGTTAATTCTCCCGATCCATGAGCAAGGGATATCTTTCCATTTCCTCGTGTCCTCTTTTATTTCCTGAAGTAGCGTTTTGTAGTTTTCTTTGTACAGGTCTTTCACGTCCTTAGTTAAGCTGATTCCTACGTACCTGATTTTCTGAGGTACGATTTTGAACGGGATTTTATTTTCATGTCACTTTCTTCTCTCTTATTATTTGCGTATAGGAAAACCATGGACTTTTGGGTATTGATTTTATAGCCTGCAACTTTACTATACATGTCTGTTGTTTCTAGGAGTTTCTTGGTAGAGATTTTAAGGTTTTCTAAGTATAGTATCATATCATCTGCGAATAGTGAGAGCTTGATTTCTTCCTTTCCTATCTGAATGCCCTTAATACCTTTTTCTTGCCTAACTGCTACTGGAAGTACTTCCATTACTATATTGAACAGCAGTGGAGAGAGTGGGCATCCTTGTCTCATCCCTGATCTTCAAGGGAAGGCTCTTCGTTTTTCCCCATTGAGGATGATGCTTGCCATAGGCAAGGTAGGTGGCTTTATATTTTGTTGATTTTTTAAAATCTGCATTTATCCGACCTAGTGATCTATAATTTTCTTTTGGTGTGTCCTATCCTTGTCTGCTCTTTGTAAGAGTAATTTTAGCCTCATGAAATGTGTTTTGAACTCTTTAAGTACTTTGAAAGAGTTTGAGAAGAATAGCTGTAAGTCCTTCCTTGAAGGTTGGGTAGAAGTCACTAGTATGTAAAGCTGTCTGGTAGTGGAAACTTGTTTTTGGAGGAAGTTTTTTTCTTATTATTGTTTCAAAAATTTCTGCTACTCTGGTCTCCGTTTTTATGCTTGCTATCTAGTTTCATAACATCATGATCAGAAAAAAAACAC